AAAAAAATTACAATAAATTAAGTTATTAAAATAAAAAAATATTAAAATAAAGAAATAAAGTAATAAAAAAGAAAGGAAGAGAGTCCCCAAACCAACAAACAAGTCCACCAATCATAACAAGCACTAAAAAGTAAACTAAAATAAACATATAAATCAGAAACTAGTCAGTTGCATACAGCAAACCCCAAGTCTGCAGTTTCTCCCAAAGTCCATTGCCTCAATTTGGGATGGTTCGTTGTCTATTCAGGTATTCCACAGATGCAGGTACATCAGGTTGATCGTGGAGATTTAATCCGCTGCTCCTGAGGCTGCTGGGAGAGATTTCCCTTTCTCTTCTTTGTTCGCACAGCTCCTGGGATTCAGCTTTGGATTTTGTCCCGCCTCTGCGTCTGGGTTGCCGGAGGGCATCTGTTCTTCGCTCAGACAGGACGGGGTTAAAGGAGCTGCTGATTTGGGGGCTCTGGCTCACTCAGGCCGGGGGGAGGGAGGGGTACAGAGTGCGGGGCGAGCCTGCGGCGGCAGAGGCCGGCGTGACGTTGCACCAGCCTAAGGCGCGCCGTGTGTTCTCCCGGGGAAGTTGTCCCTGGATCACGGGACCCTGGCAGTGGCGGGCTGCACAGGCTGGGAGGGAGGTGTGGGAGGGAGGGAGGGAGGTGTGGATACTGACCTGTGCTCGCAGGCAGGCTTTTTGGTGGCGGCAGCAGCAGCCTCAGTGTCTCATGCCCGTCTCTGGGGTCTGTGCTGATCGCCGCGGCTCGCGCTCATCTCTGGAGCTCGTTTAGGCGGTGCTCTGAATCCCCTCCCCTTGCACACCCTGAAACAATGGTCTCTTGCCTCTTAGTTCCAGACTTTCTCCCAGAGTCCCTCCCTGCTAGCTGTGGCACACTAGCCCCTTTCAGGCTGTGTTCACGCAGCCAACCCCAGTCCTCTCCCTGAGATCTGCCCTCCGAAGCTGGAGCCTCAGCTCCCAGCCCCGCCCGCCTCGGCGGGTGAGCAGACAAGCCTCTCGGGCTGGTGAGTGCTGGTCGGCACCGATCCTCTGTGCGGCTATCTCTCCGCTTTGCCCTCCGCACCCCTGTGGCTGCGCTCTCCTCCGCGGCTCCGAAGCTTCCTCCCTCCCCATCCCCCATCTCCACCAGAGAAGGGGCTTCTAGTGTGTGGAAACTGTTCCTCCTTCACAGCTCCCTCCCAGCGGTGCAGGTCCTGTCCCTATTCTTTTGTCTCTGTTTATTCTTTTTTCTTTTGCCCTACCCAGGTATGTGGGGAGTTGGTTGCCTTTTGGGAGGTCTGAGGTCTTCTACCAGCGTTCAGTAGGTGTTCTGTAGGAGTTGTTTCACATGTAGGTGTATTTCTGATGTATTTGTGGGGAGGAAGGTGATGTCCACGTCTTACTCCTCCGCCATCTTGAAGGTCCTCCTGAATTCTCCTGGATGGCTCCAACAAGGATGGTTCCCAGGGTAGTTTCTTGTGGCAGAAAGAATTCAGAGACAGAGGGGGAGGTCAAGAAAACAAAGTGATGATTTATTTAAGTGATGGATTTTTGGGTTTTTTGCCATTGAATTGTATGGGTTCTTTATGTATTTTGGATATTTACTCCTTACCAGATAATGTGATTTGCAAATATTTTCTCCCATTTCATAGGTTGCCTTTTGGTTTTGTTGATGGTTTTCTTTGCTGTGCAGAAGCGTTTTAGTTTGATGTAGTCCCACTTACTGATTTTTGCTTTTGTTGCTTGTGTTTTTGCTGTATATTCAGGAAACCGCAGCCGAGACCAGTCTCAACAACCTTTTTCCCCTGTCTTTTCTTCTAGGAGTTTTACAGTTTCAGGTCTTAAATTTAAGTTTTTACTCCATTTCAAGTTCATTTTCGTGTGCGGTGTAAGACAGGGGACCTTCTTCATTCCTCGACATGTGGTTATCCGGTTCTCCCAGCACCGTTTGTTGAGGAGGCTATCCTTTCCTCATTGAGTATTCTTGGCTCCCTTGGCAGATACTAGTTGACCATTGATTTGGAGTTTCTGAGCCTCAAGGTTCTTAGGGGCTAATGGAGGCAAACACACACAAAGTATGTTGTTACAACACAAATTACAAATAAAGGTATATGCAGAGTGCTTGAGGAGCCTCAGGGTTTAGGGAAGATTTCCAAGAAAAATATGCTCTTAAGACTGGAGGAAAAAGTAAGAATGATTGTCTGTCATGGACAAAGATGTGGGTCTCATGCTTTTGTTTACCTGACATGCTGTGAAATGCATGGTACCCATGGAATGGATGAAATGGGGAGCAGTGAAAACGCACAGTGCATGTTGGGCATTACCAGTGGTGCAGTGTTACTAAAGGGTTAAAGTTTCTGGGGGGAGAGGTGAGAGAGACGCTTGGACTTATTGACAAGGGTAATGGATGGTCCGAGATACCATGTTAAGGAGCTTGGGTCTTGTCTGGGAAAGCCCGTAAAGAGCTTCAGGTGGTGATAGTGTTGATGGATTCCTAGGGACTAGGTTAGGAGCTGGTGGGCTAGTATATTAGGCAAGAAATGATGAGTGTCTAACTACAAGATAGGGATGAGAAAAGGGTTATTTAGAGATGAGCAAATGATCGCCTATGGGTAACACGGTGGGGAGATAGTGCAGAGCAGAGATATGAGAGAATTGCTGGGTTTTAACCTTTGAACAGCTGGGTGGATGGTAGAACTTTTAAGTTGAGATAAGGAATATAGTACAAAGTGGGAATGATTGCAGTGATAGCTAACATTTATGGGGTAGTAAGCACTAGGTGTTGTGCTGTATGCTTTATGTGTATTAACTCATTGACGGTAATAACCCATGAAGTAGGTACACTATTATCCCCATTTTATAGATGAGAAAATTGAGGCAGGGAGCAACGGCTGAGGTCCCATTTAGCTAAGATACAAAACTAGGCATTTTGGCACCAGAGCTTAGCACTTAGTCTCAACATGATACAATAGCATTGTTGTGACCCTTATCGATGTGACCAATAGCATGAAACCTGAGTTCTTGTAATACTTTGTATTTCACAACACAACACTTGTGGAGTGATAATGGGTGATGCCTTTAAGCATGACTTGCGTGGTTACATTAGTTGGTGGAATATAGTAGCAAATGACTATCTGTTATAATAGTGAATTGCTTTAATTTGTGCAAAGTACAAGAGTATTGAATTTACCAACATTGATTTATAAACAATCTAGGAATTGAAGAAAAGTTTAAAAATAGGCAGTATTTTGAAAATTTTAGGCAATTGCCCATTGTATAGCTTGTTTTACATTTTTCACAGAGAGGTGGGGGGGAAATCTGCTTGTTAAAGCTCTTCGTATTTCTCTTTGTATCCTGGTGTCTTACACATAGTGGAAACTCAACTGTCAGGTTGGGGATGGGAAGAGAGGAAGCCGAGACATGAATCAAGACAGCTCGAAGGAGTTCTGGTCGGTGGGATGGGATCCGTGCACAGTGGCGGGCACCTTGCACAGGGGCACACTGGCAGGTGGTCGGTCCCAGCAGGAGGCGAGGCAGGATGTAGCTGTGGGTGTGGGTGCAGACAGTGGGTAAATGTGTTAGTGGGAGTAGATAGAAGGTCTCTGTTGTTTGCTTCTCTGTTTTCAGGGAATAAGACAAAGGAGGATATCAGGTCTTCATCTCCCCTAGTCTTCCAGCACTGCTCTTAGGGACCAGCCATTTCCGTGTGGCCAGACCCAGTGGTCACTTCCTTTTTGAAATACTTTCTTCACTTGGCCGTGACTGTGCTCTCTTAGTTTTCCTTCTGCCTTATTGCCACTCTTCAGCCTTCTTTGCCAGTGCCTCTTTATCTATCTCCCTGACTTCTATCTCTAGAGCTCAAAACACGGAGTGCTTTTTCCTCTGTCTGCAGTCGCTCCCTGGGGGATGTCATTCAGGTCCCTGACCCTGAACGCTGCTTGTGTGTGCCGATGACCCCCGAATTCGAGCTCTGAGCCCTTACCTCTCTGCTGGGCTCCAGACCCGCATAGCTGACCACCTGCTCACTGTCATTTCTTGGCAGTCTCCTAGGTATCTCACTTGACATGTCCAAAACTGTGCTTGATTCTCCCTCCCCGAATCTGCTGTGGCCCTTATCTGTAGTCTTTTCCTTTTCAGTGAATGGCTACTATACCAGAGTAGAGTAGGACTTAGTTCTAAGATTTTACCTCAGACATGATGTAAACTTCCTTTGATGGAAGTTCCTTCAAAATCGGACCCTTCCCTCCCCTTTCCTCCATGGCTCTCGCCAGCCGCCCGACGGGCTCTCACAGGGACGATTCCAGCAGCCCCCAGTCAGGTCACCTGGCTTCTGGCCTGGGCCCGGTGAGCCTGTTAAAGCCAAGTCACATCGCATTGCTCTTGTGTCCACAAGCAGCCAATGTGTCTCCGTCCCACTCCAGTACACGCCAGAGTCTGCACGGCCCTGCACTCTGCGGCTCCTCCTCCCTGATTCTGCCGCGTCGCTCCGGCCGCCCAGGCCTCCTTGTAGCTCCTTGAACATGCCGGGCCTTTTCTCTTCTCAAGGGCCTGCTTTTCTCCTTGCCTGAAAGCCTATTTTCCTAGCTAATCGGTGTCACTCCCTCCCCCTCTTTCCAGGTCTCTGCTTCAGTGTAGCTGTGTCTGAGCAGCCTCCGGGACCACCCTGGATACCCAGGAATCTCTTGTCCCAGGAACTCGGGGGTTCTCCCACGATGCTTTACGTTTCTTTATACCACCTCTTGTTACTACCTCTTGACATATTATACATTTTTTTATCATCTTTTTTATCCTGTTAGAATGTAAGCTCCATGATGATAGGGACGTTTCCCCTTCCTTCTTGATGATATCCCAGTGCCTCAAATAACAGTTTGGCACGTTATAGCTATTTACTAAGTATTTATTGAATGTGTTGCATGAATTAGTAACTGTTTCATGAACAGCTTTCCTGTTCATCTCTAAACAGCTAGGTAAGTCAGTGTTGATCTAACCGAGTGTTCTTTCCCTTCCACAGCACGATGGGCACTTCCGTTCAAGGAGGCACGTATCCCAGCCAGGCTTCAGTGTATAGTCCTCCTCCTGCCGCCCCCGACGTCACCATATACCAGAACGCAGGGAGCAGCCTATCCCAGGTGCCGAACTATACTTTAACATCGGCGCTGCCCCAGCCGCCTCCGCCCCAGCAGCCGTACTCTCCGAAGGCCCTGCTGTAGGGCTGGGACTCCTCTTTGTGGCAGATACCTGCTAAATGCCCATGACAATGTTATGAGATTCTTTGATATCTTAAGATTTGTTTATCCTCAGCTTATAGGAATCGTATCTTGGTCAGCAAGTTCCAATATTCAAGAAGGGAGACCTTTCTTCAATTTGCACTGACTTTTTAGAGGTCCTCCCCTCCCCCTCCCCCAGAGGAATGAAACTACTTACAACATCTAATTCCTTTCGTAATATGAAAGAATCAGTGCAAGATTTTTTGTCTCGTAAAATTACCTGGTCTGCAGAAAGTCAAACTGGCAAGCGCCGTTGTGGCAGATGTGTGCATAGATCGCTGTGTAACTTCACTCGTGGCCACTTTGAACCACGGTGGTGATCATGTGAATATATTTAACACTGTTAACTTAATTGACATTGCTGTTTAATTTTAATCATGAGCAACTACCATGTTTCATAATGTTTTGTGTAAATTTAAGAGAATTACACTGTCCTTTTGAACTGCAAGAGAACAACGCTGTAGCATATGTACATGAAGGCATTATGTTGTCCATGTTTCAGTTTCCCATTAAACTGAACCTTCCTTGGAGTAATTGTGCGCTGAACACACGTATGTTATGTCGTTGTGTGGCCTCTGCATACTACTAGCTGTCATCACACCAGCGTACAGTAGCTAAATTTTTGGTGCATTTATAGGAAATGATGATGTTCCCTTTTAAACTTATACATTTTGGCATGATATTTCAGAATACTGTGGGACCATGAGACAAAATTAAGTTGGACCACATTCTTTATATCTTACTTTTAAAGAAATAATGTTAATTTACTTTTTCCTAGTTGAAGATAGTAATTAGGTTTCTAAGCTGTATACTGTGTTTATTGGTGGCAGTGACACCAAAGATAGAGGCAATGGATAGAAGCTTTGAAACTGGAAAGAAAACATGAATTACACTACGTTTTCAAAGTCTCTTGTAATTATTTAGGCTGTAACAAAATTTGATTCATCTGTCTTATTCCACTGCTAGTCTTTTAAATATGTCTTTAACACAGTGTATCCTTCAATTCTTCATTAAAATGGATGTAAGTGGATGTTTCAAAGTCATCTAGATTCCTGGCTTTGCTTAACGGTTTATTTATTCTTGTCTTTCAAACGGGATTTATGGGCTGCTCTCTCTCTTAAAGTTCTAAATGGAATTATTTTGGCTTCTTATTCAGGAGTAGTTTGAATGAATGCTTTTCTTTTAATCCATATGTAATATGTTTTCTACTGACATTTTAATCTCCTTAAATATTTATAATTTCCCTAGTTTTGTGCTATTATTTAAACAACTGAAAAATTGAGTTGAGCATCGTAGTAAATGAATTGATTTAGTAACAGGTGTCACACCATAAATGAAGATTTAATTTATATTTTCTGAGACTATTATGATCAGGTACTTGCTTTCCTTTTGGCAAATGATTCCATCTTTGGCAAGGTAGGTTCAAATTTAAATCCTCATCTTCAACTTAGGGTGTTTCACCCTAGTGTTGTGTTTTCCTGAGTTTAGAGTACGTTGCCCTCAAATAGTAATTTTAAAATTTGAATTCAAACTTTACATTAAAATTTTTTAATACGTTGTTTTTTGATGAACATTGTCAAAACATTGTACTCTTTCTCATTCCAATTTGAATACTCTAGTTTAAGTGATACACTTCGTCTCAAGTCGTATTTTTCTCTTTGTCTTTTGATGAATTCCTGTTTACCAATGGCAAATGTATCATTTTTCCCATTTTATTTTGATATGCTTCATGATGTAAAATTAATGATATGTTCTCTAGTGTGTGTTTTGCCCTGTAACTGTAAAAGTCAAAGAATGGTGAAATGAAAAAAGACTCCCTTTATTACAATGCATATGCAAGTTTCTTTACCTTTATAAAGATTTAAATGATGAATACTTAAAACTGATACTATATTAGTTTGCAGTTTTCACTTATTAGGTATAAAAATAGCAGACGGAAAAAATTCCACTGAAAAGGAACCACTGTATTTTCCATCTTTCAGATGACATGGCAAGGACGGAAATAGGAAAGGACCAGTTAGGAGCACAGTGATTTTGTTCTGCAACCAGTGTATGTGTTGCACTTCCGTAAAATCTTTCTTTAAAAGATAGCTGTCCCTTTTTAAAGGGAATAGGATTATTTATAAAAAGAACTAACTATAATATGAATTTCTGTGAAGCAAATTTTACTTCTCAGTTTATTTCCTTTATAAAGTTTGTGTATCCATAAGCCAGTGACGTTTGAATGGAAAAATTCAGCCCAGTTATATACTATCTAGCTTGAGTAGCCAACAAACCTCACAGTCAGTTGGATGGACAATATATCAGTGCCTCAAACCTACCTAGTAGGAATAATATGTAGTATGTCCTTACCATGATTTTACAGTCTTTTCTAACTCCCTGGTCCTGCTTCACTGTAACCTGTCTCTCCTACTCAGTGATGAACCTTTTCCTGTGCCCAGAGATTCCCTTCTTTATATTAAAAACTTCTGGACCTTGTTTCTATACCTCTTAATTTTTGTAATTAGAATGCTTAATAGACCCCTAACATTCTTTTCTGATAGATACAATTTTCATATATGACATGTGTATAATTCAGCATGAAACTATCTTTAGTCCCAAGCTTCAAGTTTATACAAGATAAATTAGTGTCCTATATGATAAAGCATGCAACTGCAAAAACTATATAATTATTTTCTAAAATGAGGTCCATTGGTATAATTGGTCAAATTTTTATTTCTTTAATACATTAAAATTAGTTTTCTTTTTCTCATCTTACCGATTGTATTAACAATTATATAGCATCCTGTTATATAACTCTTTAAATATTTAATAACAAAATTATAGTTTAAATTCTTCACTCATATCATTTTCTAATTCAAAAATTTCTTTTTCATTGTCGATGAATCCTTGTACCCTTTAGAATAAATATATAAAAGAAACTTACCGAAATATTTTCTCAAAGACGTTATGTTCAGTTATCTTTTATTTTAGAATCATGGTTCGATTAAGTGTTCTAGTCAAATATCTAGATTATTTTCTATGCTGTTTATAATTACATGCCCCCCTGGTTTTTAAGCAAAGCCGCCTTGAGTTTTATGTATTCTTTTTTAGTGTGGTCTTCCTTTGAAATTATAATACTTAGTAATTTTTTCCCCTGAAGTTTTTCTAGCTTCAGCAATATTTTTTCCTTATAATATTCTAGAGCATTTTAAATCTCAGTGTTTAAAATATTAGGTTTCCTTATTGAACGAAACCTAACATTTTATTGGTGATAACTTGTGGTCATACTGTTTGTTCTTTGTTGATTTTTCAACTCCGTAGCTTTATGTTAATACTTCCCTCTGCCATTATTCTCTGTTTCCTGCTTCTTTTAGAGTCAAGAGTTTCTGATAAAGATTGCAGATTAAATTATTGTGTCGGTAAGCCCTTGTATAAACGCGAAAGCAACTGATTCTAATAATCGTTTGATGTTCAGAGACTTAAAAAAAAAAGTTATGTCTATTTTAGAAAAGAGTATATACAAATTCATTGAGCTGCTGCCCTCATCAGTAACAAATACCTTTTGAATTTATAGCCTCAAAATGTGTCTATGTATTTACAAATTGTGGAAGTTCTACTGTAGTAGAACTAATACATATAGTACTAATATAGTACTAATAGTATTAGTATATAGTATATATATAGTATATACTATATGTGTTAGTACTATAATAACATATACTACTAATACATATAGCACATTATGAAACACACCAAAAATAGAAATCTTACAGGGCCAGAGATAAATTATTAATAGAAATTCTAATATTTTCTCCCCGTATCTCTGGTTTATTTAGCCTGTGCCCTAGGATGTATATGTCCGATTTGGAGACCACTGTTTCAGAGGTTAAGATTAAGCAGAGGGGAGTATGATGTTACTAAGTTGGCCCTTTGAAGTCAGTATCTGATACTACAGGTGGTGCTTTTCCCAGCAACTCTTACGTTGAGAATTTTCAGACTTACAGAAAGATTGAAATAATGTATTGAACACCTGCGTACACTTCGTCCTGATTGACTAATCATTAACATTTTGTCACATTTGCTTTATCTCTTTATGTATGTTTATATATACGTGTGTGTGTGTGTATCCGTGTTTGTGCATAGGTGTGTCTGTATGTGCATATGCACATATACTTTATTGTGTGAATAGACAAAGTTACAGACTTCGCACTAAACTATACACCTAAACATTTCATCATGTATTTCGTAAGGATAAGTACATATTCCTTCATAACCTAAACCTTTGTCACATCTAAGAAAATTAACAGTAATTCTGTAATATTATTCTTACCAAACATCCCCAAACTGTTTTATAGGGACAGTTTTTTAAAAATCCAGGAAATATATCACATTTTTAATGTCCATTTATTCTCTATTAATCTGGATTGATCTCTTCTTTCTTTATGATGTTATTTAATTAACTTGATGCGCTGTTCTCATTGTAGCACTCTTTATTATTAATTAATCCCCCAAATTGCAGTCAGAACTATGTGACTTATGGTTACAGGGGATGAATCTAAATTTTTAAAGCTCGTATCAGAAAACTGTACATACAAATGAACATTGTTAGCCTAAAGTATGGTTATTCTGTATAAGAGGCAGTGTGCTCAGGCCGTTGATGCTACCATGGCTCAGTACAGTTTTGTGTTCTCCCTTTCAAATTGCGTTCAGAGTACCTGAAGAAAATTTGTGCCCTTAAAAAAATAATTGGCTCCCTTCTCCACCATTCAAAACCAAATGAGCTTTTCTCAAGCTTGTGAATGTACCTGATTCACTCTGGATGGCTTTTAGGTATTTTAGCAATGTCATCAACAATTATAGGACTTTGTTTTGGGATGTGTACATTTTGGCATGTTTGTTTAAAAGGACTTCTCTTTACCTTTTAGTCATATCTTCTGTTAAGATATTGAAATCACTTCAGAGGAAGGGAAATCCTTTCTTTTTAAAAGTTCTAGTTTTTACTTATTTTCCTCGAATTGGTTGCCAAATTGGAATCAGGCCAACTAAAATTTATACCCACAGTCAAGTTAGAAACACACGCAAGTTACAATAATGTACACTATCAGGTTGTGAAATAGCTTGTTTAAGCCCTTACATTATTTCAGTTGGTTAATGGCTTTTAAAAAAAATAGAATAAATGTTTGGAATCCATTGTTTCTGTGGCAGGATATATGAAGTTTCTTAAGTGCAGGATAATTAAATATCTTGTTACTTTAAAAAGAGATATGTAAACAATTGAGAATGTTTTTGATTAATTATGTGTAATATTATGTTAGGCATTTAAGATGCCAAATGTGAAACGTCCATACGGTATGATTATTTTCCTCAGAACTAAAAACACACAAAAAATACCTATATACTGGTTTTGGATTTTGTTCCTTTTCCCTCAGAGAAAAATAAGTTTCAATTTAATATCTTTGATATTCTGTAATTTAAAAATACAATGATAACACTTAGTTGTGAAACATGACTGAAGAAGTTGTCGTGCAGAATACAGGTAAATTCATTTAATAATTACCAGAGAAGCTTCATTATAACAAGTCCATTTCTATAAATGGCAGACGGCACAGGATAAAATGAAAGATTTCAGTATTTGCATTGTAAAATGTCCGTTTTGACCACATGGGTTTTTTGTAAAGGCTGTGGTAATACTTTTGGTTGAAGAAAAGAATAAGAACTAAATTATGTTATGGGAGTTTATTGGAGTTCTATTCTGCTATGAAGTGGAAATTTCAGTTCATTGCCCTAGGAATTTAGATTTTAACCCAGATATATCTTTTCTCAAAAGAATATCTTGCTAGATATGTGATCCTGGGCAGTTCCATCAATCTCTTGGGCCTTCTAGTTAATTATAAATTGTAGTGTTAGTGTAACTGTTACATGATCCTTTGAAGCTTGCAGAAATTTTGTGCTTCAGATCCTCAGCCTCCCTGCCATTCAGCCTGAATAACTCATCTGTGCCACTGCAGTTACCTCATAGCTCAGAAAAGGAAACGGTACTGAAACTCGGGAACATGTTTCC